ACTGGTGACCAGAAACTTAATAATTTTGCCCAGATTTGGTAGCTAATGGCTTAGGATCAGCTTAGTTCGAGGCCATGCGTGTACCTATGTAAGCTTATTTTTCGGAAATAGTTTCAAATTAAAGAAAATTGGCATGAGTCGTGTTTTGGACTCTTTACAATTACGTTTTTAGAATTTCAAACCATAACATGTGACTAAAAAATACTAAAGGCTCTCATAAGTTTACCAAGACAATTTCGATAAGGTTATGCTGTTAGGATTTGTTCATGGGTTCATGAAAGGTGATGGTGGCTTACTGTGTGTTAATCGGACCTGTGAGTCGACAGGACTGGAGTGAGGTGCTACTTTACACGCGTGTCTTATGCGTCAGTTGGGATTTTTTGAATCTAGTGACACAAAAAGCACACTTAATCGCCTCCTTTAATTTGACGCCTTATTTTTTAACGGATCATACGGCACAGCCTTGTCGTTGGTGGAAATTATAGGGTGACATGTGGGGGTTCTAGCCTGCTGTTACTTAACCTCAACACGAACTCACTGTTTGCAAGGAGCGTAAGAAAAGCTGGGCTCAGGTTTATGACAATGGTTGATTAAAAGGAACGGATTTCCTGTGAACTGGTAATTCCTTCTTCCCAACACAGGTTCATTGCGCATCATTTCGCCCAGGTATCAATGACCGTTTTCCCATAAATTATTACAATTCATTTAATGTTTTACATCCGAGCCACCGCTAAAACAATTAATTAATGCGATATCAGCAGACATAGTTATTTAGAGCTCACATGAACAACAGATTTTGCAGCTCACATTATGGCTGTCGATATGAATTAAATAAGTCATAGCCACTTAGAATATTAGGTAAAGTTGTTATACACAGACAAATTTGAAAACTAACCACTTTTCAAAATAGCCTGTGTCCATTTTACCCCTCATTGTAATGTGGAACCATAAAATGTCTCTTGCCGAAGGGAGACATCATTCTCAGCCAATGCTACGCATCCCTGGCCCGAAATGAGCTCTAGGAACAAAGTTAGTAGACTTGGATGTTGACTTTGCGTTTAACTTTTTGCTTGTAGCTGCAAATTTAAAGGCGTAAAAACGAGGATAATACTAACTGTACCCGAATTAATTGCGTTCGATCTCTGTGACAAACTGGTTTCAGTGCTCATTGACGTGCCACATCAACTGCATCAAAGGCGCCTTGCTGCAGTAAAGGGAGAAAGGTGGAGTAAATGCTACTGAACCCCAGCTACTCCACCGGTTCACAAATTGAACCACCGACAAAGCCATACCATGCAGAGGTGAACTGTTACGCCATCATATTTCCGCAGAAAAAATTGCCGAGGTAAAACCATGTATTTTGCCATTCAGTGGTCCGGATTGAAATGTTGGACTGCAGCACTCCTAGCCTTGGCAGTGTGTGCGGTGAAAAACTGGTGATATTCCACAGTCCATTAGTGCACTTGTTTTGCTGAGTTAATGACCACTGCATCTCATAATTTTTAGAAGACTGGGAAAGAGAGAGGCAGGGCAGTGATAAGACGTGTTAAGCGTCCATCCCCTAGGGGTAGGTAGTGTAAGCATTTCCCCACTCTTGCTACCACTTGTGGACCAAGCAGATTTGTGGAGCGATAGGAGCACAGTTGGAGGCGAGGATAGGCTAAGGACTCTTCTGGTCACACAAAGAAGGCGTGAGTGCCACAACTTTCCTGGGGCGGGCTGGGGTAGGGATGAGATACTTATCTTGACGTCCGCCCAAGTGGTTTTACGTTGAACATGCCCTTTGCACCCATCCACCTTCTTAGTGGGCAAGCAGTAATGCTATAGTGGGATTTGTATTTGTTTGATTAACTCTCAATTATCTGAATGGACACTAAAACTTAGGCAGCGCTAGCTTGTAAATAATTTTAAATCAGTTTTAAATCCAGAATTCCACCCCATATAAGTGAGATTCGGGTGGAATTGATTGTTTTGGGGTCTAAATAGGACATGTTTACTCAAAGTTAGCTCGAAATCACAAGGGCGGGAAGATCTAACATAACATTTGTTTCATTTATAGAAATTATTAAAAACAACCAAAAACTTTTGACTTGAATTTTAGTGGAATGGCCTCAATATTGTATTCTATGTAAAATACCAACAACGAGAAACAGCAACCTTACACGACACACCTCCGAGAACGAAATAAGCCTACTTCCGGTTTCTCTTTGCCTCGTCTCTTCACAGTGCGCGCATTCGACTTCATTACTTTCGACATTGGAAAATTTATTCAAACGGAAAGGTCGCAATGTCGACAAGGAAATTACTATGCATAAGAGAATAAATAGGACTTCCTGTCAGTGCATCGTGATTAGATAATTTGTTAATATGACATTGAATTGGGAACATGTTCCTTAATTGAGGAACTAGAACACTTTATTTTTCCTAAAACAGTTAAAATTTGTTCTCTAAGTTGCACTACAGTGTTTTTTCTAACGAAACATTGAATTTGTGAATTTAAAACGAAAGCGCCCATGTAGGATCTGAGGATGATGTACTATGCTTCGGTGCTGGTTCCACTCCAGTCGCCTCAACAGGGCCACTGGAATTGGGACCTCCAGAATGGAAATCGCAGCTCATGTTTAAGAGCACGTCATAACCAAGCGAACGGATCTTTGTAACTAGAAGAGACAGATGATTAAAAGGGGTGGCGCACTGTGGATCCAGTAAATTCTATTTCATTTTTGCAGAGAATAATCTCTATTTCGACTTCGAAAAACTACGCTTTCAATTCTGGACTTTTATTTTCGTGTTAAGTTTACTAGCAATGTGACTGCAGTCAAAGCAATAAATTGCGGAATTTTACTCGGGGAAAATTAACTTAGCTGAACTTTTCCTAACCCGACTGAAAAGACGTTAGGATCAGTTTAAATGCAAAAAAGTTTATTACTGAAAACCCGGATTCCTTAAACAAAGAACATTAAAGAAGTTCAGCTGAGAGCAGTGGGCAAGTGGTCAGGCTAGCAAATCATGTTATCGATAGTCTTGGAATGACTGCTGTTTGAGCATATTGGTTCTAAATGTAAATTTAAATTTAGTGCTGCTTGCGTTTCGGTGTACATCCTCTAACAATTAATGATAACCTGCGTGCTATAATTTAGTAATATATTGCACTCAGTCTTGTAGAAAAGAGCTAGCTGAATCCAAAGGCACAATCACCACGATTAAAGTAATGTTAGTAAATTCAGATGACTCCTAAATAACTAAAATCATTCACAAACGAAGTATTACAATACTATAATATGTGTTTTTTAATACAGCAAATTAGTTGATATCCTGCGTGGCACTGGATCATTTGGAAATGAAAGCTAATATTTACGATCACATTAACGGTAACTCAAGCTGTCATTTAAAAAATCAATTGCAGCTGTGTGTAACATTTATCTGGTTTTTGCACCTGATTATCTCCGCGTTCTTGTTTCCAGTAACAGCAAGTTCCTTCGGTTGTATCGTCTCCTGTGCTCGTGAAGTCATGACACCAACAACTGCGGCTTGACTGAGCCCGGAGAGCCAACAGCTATTGGTCTCACGCCCGTCCTTCGTAGTTTCTCCGGTTGGAAATTCGCTTCCGGCGGAAATACACGAGCAATGCGCGAAGTGCAAGTGAAAAAAAGAGTAATGTATTGTTCCTTTTAATTTCCTATCTTCTACCTCGATCAGAGGTAACGCTAACCGCACTTTCTGTTTTTAGACAAGTGTTCAAGGTTAAGCGGTGATTAATAAACAGTCCTTAGCGCCTGGGCCATTGAACACTTATCGCTTGTTAGAATGACTCTTAATAATAATAAGAAACAATAAAAAAGTAAATTTATGATGCTGATAAACTTGATTTGGCCAGTGAAATTGAGTGAGAAATTTTAATAGCATCCACACGGGTAGAAACTTTTAATGTGTGACAACACAGGCCGTTTTTTGACTTTGAAAGGACAGTAATCAGACGCACAGCTGAGGCCTAGACCTCCGACATTCGGCTCCGAAGCTTCCGCATAAACTGAGTTGTTACCATGGTGGTACTTTCCTGCCATTTCCAATTTGTCATTGTAATAAAATTTTATTCATATGCGACTGTGTGTCACTAACTCAGTTTTTTTTTATAATCATTACTTAAGTTGTTACAATGAGCCCATTTTAAAATGAAACAAATAACCTGATGGGAACAGTAATTATATTTAATAAACTGAGGCGCAAAATGACTTCGATTAGAATTACACAGGCAAATTATCTTGGATGGGTGCAACATGGGATTCCTTATGTGTACTCGTCACGAAAGCAAGTTGCAAAAAATCAGTGGACTAAAACCGTTGTTTACGCAAATAACATTAACCTATTCTAGGATTTATAAATCATAATTTCATGTAATCAAATTAATTGTCCACTTTTAGTCGGATTATGAAATGTACTTCAATCCCAGTTACATTGCGGCAGAAATATCCCCTAGACCTGTCGTAATTTCGCTTAAACATATGTTAGTAGTGCATATTTTCCGAAGTGTGTTGGTTTGTATCAAAAGAATTCGGCGATCACTGTGATTAGGACTTGGAGAGTTCCAAACAATCACAATATTGACTAATTCGTGGAAGACGATTGAAACTACGGTTATTTAGATGATAAGAATCTCATTGCTCCTTGCTTAATGCAGTCAAAAATTTGGAATGTTTTCAACACAATTAATTTCTTTCACGACACAGTCCTTGTGAGACCCGTACTGTACTACTTAAAGGGCCATTTGTGATTTCTCTGAAAGACATTAACTCCTTCCTCTTCCCTATTTACATATTCTTCCAAAACTTCCACTGTTCCTATTTGCCAAGGCAGATTTTAATCTCAACCAAAACAACGTACTATACAACAATCAACTTGGATCTGTTCTTGGAGCTATACGAAAATCAATTCTTAGTCGAAAAAGCTAAGTCTGTTTACGACTTCGTAGGTTTAGCTGAAAAGACGAAACAGTTAGCTTTCTACCTAACTGTTCTCCATAAATTAAACGAAGGAATGCGGAGGTATTCAGAGAGGATGCGATTCTTCGAGATGGGATGAAAGCGGGTGAGTTTACTTGCTGTCGAACTTCGAAGTTTAGCGTGCACTGCGAGAAAAAGGGGCTGTGAAAAGTGCGGTGCACCAGACGGTGCCCGACCTGCAGCAGCACCGAAGGCGCGCGTGGCCGCAACGATGGCCGAGCGGACACTCGGCAACCTGCGCGACCTCATTAGGCTTGTTTTATGGGCAAAATGGACATGCGCGTAGCCTGGTGAAGGAAAGGGGTGTGTGGGGAAAACTTTCCCACCTGTGAGTTGTGGCCATGTTTTTTTGTTTATGCTGATGATGGTGTATTGGGTAATTAAACCCGGCCACCAAGGTGCATGCCCACTTCTAGTTGAGGGTGATGAGCGTAAATGCGGCTATAAACCGGATACCCCACCCGCCTAGGCAGGTCTCGTACAATGGAGGCCGGGAGAGCGCACACCTAATCTCACTTTGCCTTTGGCTTAAACTATGAACTCCAAAAGACTTTTGAGGTGGAATTCTTGGCTAATGATGAGAAGACCACATGGAAGATAACTGTCTAGTGTTCACGAGGATTCTCTCTAGCACTCTAGAAATTATTTCCCGTCATCCACCCCAACAAGTACAACCTTTAGTATCGGTCTACAAGTCACACTTGGTAGGCCAGTTTGGTGGGCTGCAGGAACTCTTCAAGGGAACGAGCAACACTCGCAGATGAGATGGCGAGCGAGTGACCGAAATTATGACCCAACCCGGATTCTTATCGATGTACTCGCGAATGAATGAGACAAAGTGTGTAGCAAGGGATAAAATCAGTCACCATTTGAGTAGTGCTAGGGTTAAACTTTGTGGAGTTGGTGCTCGCAACTACTAAGGCGAGACCCCTTGAATTATAGAACCATCTAGAATGTTATCCAGTGTCAGTCGTACAAAGAACAAAAACCACGTAGAACGCTTCAAAGATTCCCAAAACACGTAATAAATAGGAGAAACTTCAATCACGACATTCAACTCCACATTTAAAGTGACCTGTAAATGTTCCAGGTTATAAATAAAATTCAGTTGCAAGAAAAATTAAGCGGATTATCCTTTGGTATTAGCGACCAGAAGGTGCTGAACTCAGTGTAACCAATATCTTGAATCAAACCCAAGTGGTCCTCAAGTGTCCAGCAATTTTTAAAACAATGAAGCCATACTTTTTGTGACAAAATATCAGTAATTCATATCCTTGAAAGGCATATCAGTTCGATAATGTATCGAGTATTCAGGTAAATTTGAACCATGAAACCCAACAACTTTCTTGAGACCGAATAGGTACTGAAAAGAAATCAATAGACACGTCACTTACTTGTGAGAAAGGCTTTTTGGTGGGGCAGTGTAACAGCTAGTCGCACAAAAATTTTCCTTGAGAAAACTCAGTGTAACTTAAACCACTCGTAGGTTTAAATGGTATCAACTATACGATGTACCATAAGCTGTATGATGCTGGTGAATTTTGTAGATGGAACTAAACGATTAAAACATTATTCAGCTACTTCATTTTCAACTATGACACCAAAACTTGAGATCACACATTTATCATTTTGTTAGTTGGGCAAAGACTATAAACACTGATGAGACTGAAGACACAGCGAGAAAACAGTAATAGCGAAGCCAGTGTACCATTGACCATGCGAAACTCATCCTCATCCGTCGCTTCAATTTTCGGGTTTGCGCGTTGAGCTCCTTGCCAAATTTGCAGAGACGGCGGAGGTATCGCCACTTCAGCACACTTTCGCCTTCTTGGTGCTTGTTCCCAAAATGACACATGCGTGTTTGTAACAACGCTTCGAGTTCCTTAGTTATTCTCAAGTAATCGATCCCGGTATGCCCACCACATTTTCACGGGGATCGCCGTCTGGTAAGCAAGTCCCCTTTAGGCCCGATTCATTTCGATTAGACATTAGTGGCAGCTGCGACCTCAATTTCACCACGGTTCCTCTAGGAATTACTGAGTGGTTCCCCGTCCCAATATATTTCCACCTGCACTTAAGCACCCAACACCTTCTAGTTCTGTCGTGGTGTAAACACGCACTTTCGGTGCACACATAACGAAGCACAAATTATTTTAAAAAAAACTGCTCCCAGGTGTTGTCATGGCAGAAAATCAATGATGCGTGCTGCTATAGAGCATAGTTATTGTCTAAAACATGGGGCATTTATACAAGGGAGGCATTGTCATCGGTATGCGTCAGGAGGGGCAAATTGGGGATTTCTCGCCTCCATTGCTTTGGGTTTATAAGAGGTTGGGCGAACATTAAGAGATGGAACCGGAGGGGGAATAAAAGTTTTACCACGATCCCATTCTCTTGGAGCCCGTTTCTTCGGCAAAGAGGACACGGTCGTAGGTGCCGTCTCCAAAGACGATGAGCTCATTGCTTTAGCAGAGGTGGCTTCAGCAGCTGCTTGCTTAATTTCCGCCTCATCACGTAGACGACGCAACATTGAGGCAATATCAAGGTCATCAGAGCCAAGCTGTTCTCCCACAGTGACTTCTGATTGGGTGGAAACTGCAGGACTTTGATCAGTCTCGTCCTCTAGTTTTTCATCAAGTAGGTTGGCAGCAGCTGTTGCAACATCAGGAAGGCCTTTGCGGGCACGCAATCGTGCCAGGCGCTTGCCCATTGCAACGGCGCGCTTCAGTCGTTCTTCGTCGGCCAACTTCCGGGCTCGTTCCGTCCTGCGGCGGAGCTCTCGAAGAGCAGCCTGCTCCGCTGCTCGTTTCTCGGCATCAGCCGAGAACGCGTAGAAACCCGTCCCGTGGTCCCGAATCTCACCTTGCCGCAAGTGCGCATAGGTCACTGGGCCTTCGGGAATACTTACTGGCTCGGCGTTAGTGGAGCGAGTTCGTACATCTGCAGGAGATTGTACATGAAGGTCATGAGAATATCAAGGACGGCGAGTAATGAATTGCGGACCCAAATAACCAATGCAAAATGAAGCATTACTATGTTATAAACCAAAAAAGAACACAAACAAACGACAAGCTTTGAAAACTAATAATGCGCAATGTCAAATCAAATACAAACCTTCATCTTCATCATCACCTTCACTTGAATCGGTGTTATACCGCTTCTCCTCCAAGTGCTGTCCTTGTTCCATTGCTTTTCGCTCAAAATCAACAAGTGGGGCTTTGTCATCGTCATTTTCCCCATCCAAGTGTTGCACCATGGCGGCTTGCTTGAGAGCCTCATAAAGACGAGACTTGGCCTCAAGCCTGCGACGAGCTCTTTTCCAGGCGACATCATCTTCGCCGTCTGTTTTCGCAACAGGCTCCGCTTTCTTTCTGCTCTTTGCAGGCGGTGAAGGGGGGGAGGGAGGACGCTTGAGTAAGACCCCACTACCACCACCAGCACGTTTGAGAACTGCATTGGCAACGTTGGGTACAGTAGTTGCCTTCGTCTTAACTTCGTTCTGACGGCGGGCTATTTCAGCCTTTAGATCAATCAGAGAAACACCATTCACGTCGATGCGTTTTTTACTCCCAACTGACGCGGAATGCATGCTAAAGTCATGAAACTATAAAATCAAATAAAAAAATTAGAAAACAGTGCACCCAAATAAATTTAAACAATTATTTGGGACGGAATAATTGACGGAAGTAAAGAGACTGAACATCACTTTCCACTATAGAAATACACAGCCACACGCTTTAACGATTGTCTTTAAAATAATATTAAAAGACGACATAAAGAAACTCGAGAACGAGCTCATATTGAATGAAAAAAGATTTTGTGAAAAAATGCTATGCAAGGGATAGCGAAGACGTCAAACAATATAAATTTGGCCTATTTGAACCAAGGCCTTTAACACGTTGTAAAAAATGCATGTACTTCATACGGGGAAGCGTTTTGTAAAAACGATACAACTTTTAGATGAATGAAGAAACTTCCCTTAAACGCGCATAACGACCATCCTAGACACCCACATTAGAAATAATTCAATACTAACGTTCCTTTTCTTCAAAAGATCCCAAAAGTAAGTACATCACACAACTTATTTAAGGACCAAGATAGGTCGTTAAAAGATTGATCGAAAAGTGACGTGCTTATAATTATGGAAATGGGTTAAACGCAGACAAGCGAGATCCGAGTTCAGAAATTCAAAGCCGAATGACGTTCACAAACAACAAATTCTCTAATCGTATTGTCATTACGGTTCACGCAACTAACATCACCAATTTCAATTCAGTAGCAAATATTGGTACAAAGTACATTGAGGGAGCTTCCTAAGTTCCAACATACAATTAATGAGCAAAGCAGAGCCCAAACAAGCTTGTTATAGTCTATAAAATCCATTCGTACCACACGATCTTTTATAGTAAAGACCAAATTTATTCCAAGTTCCATAAACGTGTAACCCAATACTTCTCAAGATTCATCAGTATTAGAGACCGTCACCCTCATTTTAATACCGAGGATCCATTTGTAAGTAAAAGCAAAAAGTAATCGGAAGGGAAAAGAACACGTAAGACTTGTTTTATCTGATCATTTTGCAATGCTGCTTAAGGAAAATGTCAAAACTAATACTATTATTGTGACATAACGCCACTAATAACGCAAAAGAGGCAGAAAATGACGAATGGAGATGGGAAAGGTTGTGAACTTGCTACGACCTTCTATCATTATCCACCAAATTGGTCCAGTTTTAAAGACAAACGAAAATCAAGCACAACAAAATTATTAGGAAGCCTACGTAAAAGCAGGTTAGAAATCACATTAAATAAATGATGGTAAAAAGATTTAGTTGATTTTGGCCCATTTCTACAGAACCTCAAACGACACGCGCGTTATTATCCCTAACCTGTATTTCGACAATGTATCAGTGATTTTGCATAAATATGAAATAAAAACGCTAAATAAACATTTTAAAAACAACAAAATCGAAAGACGCTACTCATTGGCTGCGAGACAAACAACCCGCTGGCTTTATGATCAACGAAAACAATTCTTAACTTCTGAAATACCATTACTTGATGCATAGTTTTGGGGTCAATAGTTTTTGAAGTTCATAAAATTATGACCACAATTCGCATGGGTGGTAGTTGGTCATATCTGCGTGGGAGTAAAGGAAAATATTTACCAAATAATTTTATA